ATAAAGAAAGTATAGAGAGTCTACTAGCCCCGTGGTAATGTGTAAAACAGAAACATGTAGAATCACTTTAAAAGAGGGTGTGTACTATATGGTGAAACAATGACAGTATTTGTGCTGGGCCTAAAGACCTTAGACAACTGTTTTAGTAATTTTAGCTAGAGAAACCAGCAAGAGAAAAGAAATCCTGATCACAAATACTGAGGACTGTAGATTTTGGCAGAGAATGTAACCAGTAATCAATTAAGCATAGGTAAAAAATATATATATATATTACTACTATTAAAGTATTTTTCTTAAACAACTTGTTTCATCTTTCTCTTTTCTTCCTTAAAAAAAAAATTCACCAATTTTCAGTCCTAAACGTTTTTACCTAAAAACTGTATATAATGGCAGAGAATGTAACCAGTAATCAATTAAGCATAGGTAAAAAATATATATATATTACTACTATTAAAGTATTTTTCTTAAACAACTTGTTTCATCTTTCTCTTTTCTTCCTTAAAAAAAAAATTCACCAATTTTCAGTCCTAAACGTTTTTACCTAAAAACTGTATATAATGAACTGCAATTCTCAAACCCCCAATAAGTACTTAGTTGTGTCTCATTTCAGGTTTTTTTTTATTAGCAAGTTAATAGCATAAAACCAAGTAAAATTGGATACTTTCCCTCTCTTCTCCAATAAAATCTTTCTCACCCAATTCACTAAAGAAATGTTTACATTATTAAAATAATGGTGTTTTCAAAAAGTTTTGAGGCAGGTCATAATTTAGGTAAGTCCCTTTAGGTTTTCAAAGACAGAGATATTGGCACCATCACAGCTTCCATTAAAAAGTTGGCAAAGGGCAATTCTCTGCTAAGATAAATGAGAAAATGAGAAGCACTGCAGTACAGTGCACTAAAGAGTTTAGATAAATACTGATCATTATTATGAATAGAAGATAACTGATCTGTGTTCAGAAAAAGTAGGCCTGAGCAACTTCTACTGGTGGAGCTCAGTAGAGCACAACAACCTAGGAAATATCTGGGTACTATAGTGCCATTAAAATGTTGTATTTTGTTTGGCAGAAAGCACAATTAATGTTTTTTGGTGAGATTCAGTTTGTATATATGGTGACTTCATTTCTCCATAAACAATAAGGCATCACATCAGTACTAATGACAGGTAATATATCCAATCTATATCAGAGATTATGAACTCTATACAAGTAGCATTAATGGCTACCATCCCAATGAGGCAAGAAAAAAAAAAGAAATTTTGTTTCAAAGCTCTTTGCACAACATTTTACCTCTAAATGCACTAAAAATTCAAGGTGGAATGATGATAATAGGAAGGTAATCTATAGCAAGCTCTGGATATTAGACACACTACCTTTTGACTGGTAAAAACTTTTATATCTGGGGTTTGTCTATAAAATATAAACTACTATAGCTATGTTCCCATGTAGGCTGAAGACAGTAATCTTACAAATATGGAATACAGAAAAATTCAGAGTGTGCATAATCCAACTTTGAAAGTTACATACAAATTACTTTGGTTCAGATCAATGCATTTCAGAAAGAAGACACTTAAAATATAAACACCAAGAGTGATATACTTAACACAGTTTGTGGTTACATCACAGAATTACTTGACAAAGAAAGCATTTGATAATCAAGTTACCTAGAAAAAAGAAGTCTATATGTAGGAGCACCATAAGCAATACATGTCAAAGTAAGAAAGAGCATGGTATATACTGATGGACACAGAACTATATTACTGACAATAAAATGTCAAAGACATGGTCAAACTGACAAAGGTGAGATCAAGAAAGATTATATTATGTCTTACTGAAGAGTTCCATATGATCCTGAAAGAATCCATGATGGAAGACGAGTGCAGAAGGGAGGGAAGGAAGGAAAGGAAGAGTTAAGAGAGAAAGAGAAGCCTAGAGATAGGGAGGAAGCAGTGAAAAAAAAGGAAATATTGAAAGGAAGAAAGAAAAGAACAGTGAGAGATTTTAAGACTCATAAAATTAAGAAAGTCATGGCATAGAGAAAAATTTCAAGGAAGAAATAATTATGAGGATCTAAAAACAAAACATTTTCCCAAAATATCACAGTAATTAAAAAAAAGTCCACTGGATTTATGAACATATAAGTCACTGATGTCAAAAGTTATCATTATGAGATGTAAAATAAAGTGCTGTAAAATGGGTTGGAGGGGTTTCCTAAGAAATTTTGAAAAAAAATGGATTTACAAGAGATACATATGGTCCTTCAAAAAGTTTCAAAAACACAAAAACCAGATGCATTGAGGGAAAGTCAGGGAGGGGGTTGTTTCCAGTTCTACCCTGTTAGAAATAAAGACTCTTTTACTAATTCTAGGAGAGTCTACCTCACTGAAAAAAAGGTAAACATTACAAAGTATCTACCAAGGGTTGAGAATTGGATGATTTAACAAGACCATCAAAATTAAAATCTACTATAGGATCACTAATAAGAAAAAAATAACACTGGTACAGTTCTCCAGCTAGTTAGTCCTAAACCTCTCAATTTTCACAATAGTGGGAATAATAGAACTTTTAGAGTTTGTGAAAATTAAGTAAGATACTGCACACAGAATGCTAAGACTTATAGTTACCTTATAGTGAACCTCAAAACTTGTCTTTATAGAGAATAACAAAATATACATAGTGCTTAAATAACTTCAGTTTGTAAGAGTCACATACAGTAAGTAGTGCAGACATGACAAGTCCTCATGACATCCTGATTAATAGGCTCTAATTAGCTTCAAAAATGAGATGACTATTTTAGTTCACTTAGAAAAAAAAACATTGTACATAAGCACATAATTTTACACAGAAGTAGATGTATACAGATCGACAGAAAGAAAATTAAGTACTCAATTGTAATTTCAAATTCAAAAGAATCTTTCTCTTCTAAGGCATTAAGGTACATTTCTCAATAATTTCTGTAACAAAAGTGTACACTGCAGAGACTTGTTCCTCTTTGTGTCAAAAATGAATTAAACATTATTCTGAATAGTAATAAGTGCTGTAATGTTGTCTCCCTTTTTAATTTATATGTGCAGTAGTCTTTAATGATATAGTCTGCAACTCTTCCAGCCAATTCTAAGAAACAAGATTCAATTATTCTGCAAATCTATAAGCAGTAACACATTTCCCTTATATATCAGAATTTTATTACTGCTGAACCAGATAAAAAGACAGCACAGTAAAGATCTTATGATCAATAATCAAGGAGTCTGGGAATCTTGGAGAACTGCATATAAATACATTATACTTCATAATATATAGCCTCATTACTGCTAGAATACTGTCACCTTCAAAATAAAACACCTCCTTTTTAATAAAAGCAGCGATCAAGGCATCAGCAAAGCTCTATATCAAAATACTGAAAGTACAAGTATCTAAAATTAAGATGTTATTAAGTGATCTGAATTGGCATGATAATTGAAAAAAATCAATTGTGCAGACATTAGAGTAAATAATATACTGGTAAGATTTACATTAATAAATTTCACACACAGGCTGATTCAGTAGCAAAGTTCCTGAATAAAGTCTTAAAAGACTTTTTTTCCACAAACAAGTCAGTTTAGCAAAAACATTATTTCTTGAGATGAATTAATTCAACTGCAAATGAGTATAAATAAACAACTTCTCTGCATATCCTTACTGTCACCCCCCCCCCAAATATTCTGCTGTGTATTTCAAGTGCATAGCCACTAGATTGTCAAAAGCTCTAAGAACCATGCAATGAGAAAACAGAACTGATACTTTTGTCATTGAAAAAGATTTTAAGCAAGCAAGAACACCATGTTACTAGCATCCTCTCAGAGTGAAGAAAAATAAGTTAAATTATATGATAAATTAGCGTAAAATAACAGTAAATGTTGACGTTAAAGATAGAATAGCAAGGCAAAGATAAGGTCTTTGTTATCCCCCCTCCATCTCCATCTTCCACCCCCCACCCCCTTCTTGCTGGCACTGTAATAATGTATACAAAGCGGGGAAAGGTGTTATCCTGGATCTGGACAGCTTCCCCAGTTTGTACTAATCACTGTCTAGCTACCCCTGCTCCTTTTGTGGCAACTGGACCCTCACAAAGAACAGCAACCACCTAGGGTAGACACGTCATGGGAGGTGTGTGTGGGGGGGGGGAGGGGGGACGCTGTTCTCTACCATCCCCAAAGATTCTGATTGCCCCGTGTTGTTCTCCGGCGGGGGAATCCGGACTGATCAATCAGGGCTGCAGGCAAACTTTCAAAGAGAGGCACCGCGGCCCACGACCTCAACGCACGCATTCCCGCGCGCTCCCGTTGGGTCTTGTTTTCCCCGAGCATCTATTTCCATCCGCACTGATATTGCGGAAGCCCGAAATTCACTTGGTACGGGGAGCCCGTGACCCACCGTCCTCTAGGCATCCCCACCCCGCAATACCCTCCCTTTCCCCTATTCCATAGCCACCAAACTGCAGCAGAGCAACAGCTCCACCAACCCACAGGTTTCCGGTAGGAACGCCCACCAGGGCAGTTCCCAACTGCGGGGAGCAAGAAACCGACCCTTGAAAAACATCAAGTGCCACAGCCTCCGAGCCCCGGCGAGGACCAGCAGCCTCCCCACGCCGAGGATGCTCACGGTCCCACGAAAGACACACGCGGACGCTGGCTGGCGGGCGGGGGGCGGGTAAGGATGAAGTGCAGGTGGGGAATGTTACGAGACGGAAGCGGCCAGCCTGCAACCGGCCAGGGACAGGTGAGGCGTGTCAGCAGGCGAACGCGGACCAGCCAAGAGGTGACGCGCCAGGGCGGTCACCTGTGGGGCCAGTTGGTCCAGCCCCGCCCCCCTCCCCCAGCGAGAAATCTCGGGAGGAAGCTCCCTCCTCCTACAGAGCCATCTCACCCCCAAACCCATAACCTTCCCCCCGCCCCTCCAAAAAAAATAATAAAACAGCCCAGAAAATGGTCATGCTGGGGCCCCTGGGCCCGGGCCGGAACTTACCATCCACGGTCTTCTTCTTGAAGAGGGACGCCATGGTCAGCGACGGCGCCCGGGCGGCCCGGTTCGGCCCGAGACTCGGAAAGGACACACGAAGAGGGCAGACGCGCAGGACGTCTCGGGAGGGCGGCCCGGGGGGCGGGGGGGCGGCGCGGGAGCAGAGAGCGCGCGGGGTCCGGGAGGGAGCCGCGGAAGGAAGGGGCCCGGTTCTGCCGGCAGCCACTCCGGTCGCTCAGGTGACCGCCAACTAAGACACTTTTTTGGAGAAGTCACTTCGGGGCGGCGCCTGCGCACTGCGGCGGTGGCGCCTGCGCACTGCGGCGCCTGAAGCCGCGTCGCTGCCCTCACCGCCCCTCGGCCGCCGGCTCCCGCGGCTCGCGCCGACGGGCCGAGCTCCGGGGCCGGGCTAGGGGTGCTGGCGCCGAGTGCCTGGGGATGCAGGGCGTCGGCGGCCGAGCTGGAGCCCTGCTGATTGCTTGCCTCTGTGCCCCGGGCGAGAGGAGGGGAGATGGGGGCTGGAGGGGCGGGAAATGAAGCTGGAAGCAGGTTTCCCCCGTACCCACCCAAGGTCTTAGGGCAGGTGTGGGTGCTTCCTGGAACGGTCCTCCCGTTGCTGCCCGTGTGGATTCAGTCCTGAGTTTGGGGGGAGCAGTAGTAAGCCGAGGTCGTTTCCCGATGATTGGCTGACTGTGGGGCTCATGCCCTCTTCCTGACGAGCTCTGCGATCTCCATGGTGCCCACCCACATGCAGCCTCCCGGAGGGAGTCAAGGCGTGCAGCCGCTCCCCGCCCCCCCCCCCGGAGGGGGCATCTGGGAATCTGGTTTCTAGGCGTGGGGATGGCGGGGGAGGGGCAAGGGGGCAATAGAATGGGCAATCACTTTCTTAATGAAATGCTCTTTTTTTTTTTTTGCTTGATGTTCTTGACTGAAACAGATTTGCCCCCCCCCCCACGCCGTACCCATTAAATTCTATTTATTGGTATATGGTTTAAATGTATGCAACTTTTTTTTTAATCTTGATCGGTCAAGAATTCATGACTATACTGTGAACCTATTAGACTATATAGCTGTATAGTACAAAAAAACTCCATACTATTGTGAGAAAAAGCTCTATATCATATTAAAGAAAAAGCATAGTGAATTATTTAGAGTCTGTGTGTATAAGCATAAATATGAGAAACAATCTGTTCATTGTTTTACTCCATTTTGTATGTGTTTATAGGTGTGTATATGTATATATATATATGATTTTGCTATTTCAAATCTTAATGTCACTGTCATTTTTTCCTTACCAATCTATTAGTACTTGAAAAGAAACATTGTCTTCTGTAAGATCAAATAGTATGTCCCCTCCCCCCAGACATGTGATTTCTGATAGGGAAGACACACCCAATAATAGTGTCAATCCTGTGAGTCACCTTTGACTTTATGAATCATGTTTCAAGGATTTTTAACTCAGACTTCTCTTCTTTATTTTTTTTTATAAGCTGTCAAGACCTTCAGGACTTCTGATGATTCTGTTATTGCTGCTTAAGTTTAGTTACCTGTCCAGTTGTGAAAACTTTCCTTATAAATGACACGCAGTATGCAGTATCTAATTGTCTTGATCCTCCTAAAGTTATGCTAGATGTCATGAAAAGGTGAGATAAGGAAGTTTTTTAAATGCAGAGATTTAGCTTGCAATTGCAAAGCTTAGCCCTTCCTGGAGCAAACTATAAGGAAAAAGTGTTTGCCCTGACTGCCTGTTGTAATGAATAGCATTGAGCTGTGCTTGAATGCATGAGAGGCAATAAGCTGTTATGCGTGTAGTAATGGTACTCCTCCCTGCTGCAGTCACCCTTGTTTTATTACTCCTCCCAATCCCCCCTACTGACCCAATTGTAACAGTTGGGAAAATGCCAAAATACTTAGCAGTAACCATATGGAAGACCCTCCAAAAGTGCACAGCAGGAGCTAAAGACGGCTTGTTCATTACAATAAAGACAAAATAGAAATATGTAGTGTTTAAATCCAGCAATCTAATAGCTTAATTCTCCTGTAGTTTGAATCAGGCTAATAACCAGCTGAAAGGCACTGGCTGAACGGTCTCCATTCTGATTGGATGCCGGATGACATCCATTCTGGTGGCCAAACTATACCTATATGGATTTTGCTTATCAGTCTGTATTGGAAAGCAAGAATGTTAGCAAATCCAGGGTCCCTTTGTTGCTTAAAGGTCAAATATGAAGATTTGAGGGTTAATGTGAACAAAACAGGTTTATTCTGGTGCTGAGAACCTGAGATTGTGAACTAATTGTTCCCCCACAAACTGCCTTACTTTCAGACTGGGGACCAGGACTTAGATGTGAGAGAAGGTAGTAGGCTAATGGATTATGAAGAGAGTTCCAGTCTTGCGGCTATCCAGCTGGTGTCAGTAGATTGATGGTGGTGGCTGGCTTCTGGTAAAAGCTTTGAAGTAACAGTTTTTGCCTCAGATCTGTCCTGATAGCCGCCAAAGAGCTCTCTCCAGAGGATCTGGGATGCTGCCCTCCCATTGTCTGTGACTGACTCTTAGGCTCATGTGAAACATACAATGCATAAAAGCACTCCTTTGTGTTAGCAAATGGACAAGGCAAAATGCCATGGGAGTAGAAGGTATGTGGATAGCAGAAGTCTATACTGTTAACTTACAATGTGTACTTAAATATAGGACCACAGAGCATTTACAAACTAGGTAATTCAATGATATATTTTGTAAAAACTATCATCCTATAAAACTGTATCAGCACACAAGAGTAGTTTTAGTAGGTACTAGAATGTATTTTTAATTGTAATTTTTAAATCTCATTAAGAAATAATAAACTCATATCCTGTTATCACATCATATCCATTAAATTCATTCCTAATAGCGCAAACAGTAAAAATGAATACATGCTAATGACATATGCCGTGCTGGACAACAGGCAGGAAGAAGGAAATATAGTTCCTCCCTCCTTTTCTCCTACACCCTTCCTACCAGGTTTTTCCATCTTTTCCCATGCACCTGGTGCTATTCTCACATAAATTCCAATGGATGTCTTTTTCTCCCTCTCACACTAAGAAATTCTGTGATATAAACTGAATGTCATTTCAATTATGATCATATCTACCTGCAATCACATTGGCTTCCATAGATTAAAATTTAGTTCCAGGAGATTGACGCTTCAGATGCTTATCAGGTCCAGGTTGTTATCTGGATTTTTGTCCGACAAGGAAAATCTGAGGTTCTCACCACCCTCTCCTCAAGTTTGATGAGTCATTTTATTCCTTAGATTAGCCATTTATTAAGAAAGAATGCTGAATAATACCACTCAACCAGATGACAGGAGGTATAGAGCAAGGTCACAAAAGCAGTCGCTTTGAATTTTAAGGCCCAAGTCTGGTGGTACATGAATGCTTTCTGTTTTACCAAAATGAAACCTATCCCCACTCTTCTTATTTAGCAAGAATTGGCATACATTACTGTGTATGCTTAAGGCATATAACATTTACATATATTGTAAAATGATTGCTATATAACAAGGCCTGCTAATATCTCTCCTTATATAGATACAATAAAAAGAAAAATTTGAATAAAAATGCTTAGAATTTAGTACATGAACTTTTCTATGTCAGATAGCTGTGTTAGCTATAATCATCTCGTCGAACAATACATACTAGTGCATATTTCACTTTTAACTGTAAGTTTGTATAGTGAACAGCTGACCTAGGAGGAGTCCTTTTTAAATGGGGTCAGAGATGCCACAGCAAGGAAAAAAAAAAAGTGCAGTGAAGTGGGTTGAATTGGGTTCCAGATCTCTTGCTGGAGCCAAAAAAGTCATCATTTTATAGAACATCAAACAATTGCTTGAGAAGTCATCTGATCATGAGGACTGATGATTTGCTGGAGGATAAAATCAGTAACCAATTGCGCATAGCCAAGAATGAGTTAAGCTTATTAACACTAATAAACTCTTTTGTTTAATTGCCTCCTTTTCTTTTTCCATTAAACCCCAGACTTTCGTCTTTCCTTGGGTGGTTTGAGGTTTATATGTGACTTTATGTACCCCCACATTGTAATCTTTGATCTCAAGTAATGCTTTTAGCAGCTCCCTGAATTTTGAGAGTAATAGGATCTTTTGAACATTTTTCTTTAGTTCCCTTCCTTCCATTCTCTGTCTCTGGTGACCACAAAATCTTTTTTCTTTCTTTCTTTCTCTTTTTTTAATTTTGGTCAATTTTCTCTTTCCTTTGCTGCTGTTAAAATCACTGCAGACTCATCTGCTTGGTTGTGGTACACATACACTTGACTGCATTGCTTGCCAAGGTCTCACACTTTTGTTGCCAAGCTTACAGAAGTTGGCCTTGCTGGGAGTTGCACTCAGGCATAGTGCTCACACACATTTGCTCTCAATTTGGAGTGCAAATTTTGTGTTGCTAAAGGTCCCCAGACAGAGCCTCTGGGACCCAAACTGATACCTATGGACAGCTTCGTAGACCTCAGCACCCAGTGTCTTAGGCTTGCATCACTGTGCTTTTTTGCATCCTATGACCCTGGAAACTTTTTTTAATTGTATTTTTTAATATAATTAAACAAATGTGATTTACAAAGTTTTTGATAGTTGAGTTTTAGGCATAGACTATTTCCACACTAATCCCACCTCAAGTCTCAATTCTCTCCACCAGTGTTCCCACATTCCCTCCCCACTGACAATCCCCACCTGTCAACTTGACAGTCACATTATAAAGTTCCAGTGGTTGCATCTTATGATCTCATGGTTTCAGTGTTGAGTTTGTGTTTTGGAAAGATGGCTATACCACTCACCTATGTCACCTGTATAATTGAACACTGATGTATGGTCTCCATTACTTCCCATTCTCTTCTTTACCCCTGGAGGATTTCTTCTCTGTCCTCCTTTCTAAACACTGGGTGAAGGGTGATCTAGGCATCCCCTCTTTACTACAGTATATGTCCTCATTCAATATTCTATATTCCACAGATAAGTGAGATTATCTTGTGTTTGTCTTTCTTCTGTTTTACTTCTCTCAGCATGGTATCTTCCAGTTCCAGCCAGGTTGCCGCAAGTTGCATGATTTCATCATGTTAACTTTTTCGGTGAATTGGGAATAAGGAATTTAAAATTCCAATTATATTGTTGTTCCCCCATCTCTAGGTGCTTTCCAAGAGTGTTCTTAATGACGTAAACTCTGGTGTAATTGAAAAGATTTTGCCATGAATAACTGGACACCTTTATAGCTCTTTTTCTTTTAATTGACTCACCATGAAG